GGCTTCTCACCGATGTTCTCCTCCAATAGTATTTGGCTGAGGTACTTGGACACAGGGTCATCATCATCATCTGGGGAGTCCAAATCTGCAGGTGGACCCTTGGACATAGGGTCATCGGCATCTGGGGAATCCAAATCTGCAGGTGGAACAAAATGGCCATGGTTGGGACCAAGTGTGGTCCAAGGGTTATCAGAAAAACCCAGAGCTGCTAAAGAGTCATTTTGAGGAGTATCCAAAGATTGCAGAAAGGTTGAAACAAGGGATTGATCTTCTTGCTCTGCAAAGCCAGTGAATCGAGGATCCATAAACATACAGTATGTGAAAAGATCAATCCTGGAGTATCCAAAGCCAGAACATCCATGAGTAAGAAGTAAATGGATTTGATAACATTTCAAAAAACAAGGAGAATCCAGAGATTTAGGGTGTGTTTAGTTGGAGGAGAGAGGAAGGAAAATGATTGCCTCCCCACATATGGTTCAAAACATTTTTAAGGTTAAAGAGCAAAAATTTTACATCCCCTCAACAGTTGGAGGCGATGGGATGTGAATGGGGTGAAAACTCTGGCTTCCCCGCCCTAAAGAATTTCAACCAAATGAGGAGAGGGAATTATTTTTCTTTTCATCCCCTAAAACCAAACACAAGCATATGGCTGTAATAAACAGATTAGCGCCAACAATGAGAAATATATTGTATATGCATCTTCTTCATATCAAAATCAATGAACATTGAACTTTGGCAATAGCACATCTGAACAAGTATGCCACACAATGTAATGAGATGGCCTAAACCATAATGCTAATTCTTAAATGTGGGTATTTGAACCGCCACAAATAGTGACCAACAGCCAGAACAACTGCCCAATTCTGATTTCAATGACAATCAATGTTATCGCCTGCAACCACCATCCATGACATTGCCGCCAAGGACGTCAACTACAAGCAATCCTAACAAGCAGAATATTGACTGACTAATGGCATCAACAACAGGAGTCATTTTTCTTTCTCTCCCCTCTAACCAAACACACCCTTACAGATGTAGTAAACAAATTAGAGTCAACAATGAGATAATAGACGCATCTTCTTCATACTATTCAATCAATGAATCGTATTGAACTAATGCAAGTATGTCACTTAGAGTTTGCATCCACTGCTGTACTGAGTAATTATATACTCAGATAAAGCCATACCTTCATGGCTTTGTCAATATCACATATTCACATCTGAACAAGTGTTTGCTACACACTAAAAAAGGAGATGGCCTAAACAATAATGATAATTCTTGGAATGCTTCTATCATGGACCTAAGGATCATCATGGACCTTCTCACATAAGCACTAGAATATTAGATAAAATTTTAATAAATTCATGTCCTAATAATAATTCATTATTTATATGAGAAGGTCCATGCTTCTTATATGGACTTGAACTCCATTTAAGAATTTACCTAATTGCTCTTGAATGTGTGAGTGTGTGTACAATCCGCACCCACCACAACCGGCAACCGCCACAAATACTGTCCACCAGCTGCAACTATCGACCACTTCCGCCGTCAACTATATTCCACGGTACTGTCCGCAACCACACATCCCCTACTGGTAATCCCAACCACCATAATAATAACTGACTTAAAATGAGTTAGAAGATTACTTCGAAATATATGTGGTTTAGACAAGTTTTTTCCAAATTTGAAAAGGAAAAAAAACAGAATTAAACAAGAAAATCATGAATTGAAAAAAAAAAAAAAAACAGGATGGAGAACAACCAGGCTGATCCTTGATGTTCAAAATGAAACTATGCATATAGCTTAAACCCTAGTCTTCAATCGAAATGAATGATACAAAACGAAGAGGTACTTGATCAAATTGGAGTTGAATTTCAATAATTCAAACATTATAAACCAAAAAAAATGTCAGCAAGACATAGTCAGTTACAAACTCGAAAACCTTGTTGCGAATATGATTCAGAAGCGTACCTCAGAATATAGACAATAACGTCACGGGGTGAAGCAGCAGCGATCCATCTGTGTAGCAAATACTCCTCCGTAGCAGTCAAATCTCTACCCGGAAATAAAGACTATTCTTGTTTTTTACTTGGAATCTTACTTAGATAAGATTTAAAAAAAAAAAAAAAATTCTTGTTTTTTACTTGGAATCTTAGATATTGACTATTGAGTAAAGTTTCAGAAATTATTTCACTCGGGATTATAAATCCGTTACTTTGTTGACCAATTAAACACACAGTTTTTAACTCTAGACACCTCTTTTTTTTATAAGAACTTACATTTTACAAAAAAATTACTCCCTCCGTCCCCCTAAGATGTTCTCATTTTGACTTTTGGTGATTTTTAAGGAGAGTTGAAAAAAGGTGAAAGTTTACCATAATACCCATAATGAAAATGGATGGAATGTATTAAATGAGGTGGGTGAGGTGTAATAAATAAAGTAAGTGAGGATAGTTGTGGTATTTTAATTGTTAAAAAATGAAATGAAAATATCTATTGTGGACAAAGAAAAAGGGCTATTGGAAAAATCTATGAAGGACGGAGGGAGTATTACCTTATTTATATTTTAATCATTCAATGCCAAAACTATGATTTTTCTCTCTATCACTCTGTATTTTAATTTGACCACTGTAGCTTTGGACACTATTAGTGTTTGAGAGTAATTAACTTGTAATTAAAGTGATTTTCACACAAGCTAAAAGCAGAAGTATCATATATTTGCTTTTCTGAAATGATGTTCTATGTACAAAATGATGGTGAAGAAAAGCATAAATTGGTGTGCCAGACATTATAAAATGACTAGCACTTAAAGCAGAAGCTAAACTTTGAAAAGCACCGCAGTGCCAAACACCCTCTTACTACTCCATACTATTCCATATAACAATGCCTTGATGGAGCACAGTAACACCGGTCAATAGTATGTTCACAAAAGGTAGTGGATAATATCATACTAGTAATTTCTTAAGAAAAAAATAACTTAGATAAATTTAATGATCGAGGTCAGTATCATTATTTGCATAAGACAGTAAGAATCCGTTCTGTTCAACTTATTTTTTTAGCTTATTACTTATTTTATTAAAACTAGATCAGATTATAAGCAATTTTAAATATGAATACAATCAAATCAGATTAAATCAGATCAGACCAAGTCTGATCAGGCGAATGAAACACGGTCTAAATCAATAAGGCATATCATAACATTTTTACAAAAGGCAATAACTAAGATTAGGGCAGTAATGTCTTGACTCTTTATAAAAGGCAATCACTTAGACCGGATTTTAATGATGAAGGCCAATATCAATGGCCACTACTTAATAATGTACAATACCAATATTTGCACTTGCTCAAATAGAACATAAGCTTACTTTGAACTCCTAAACCTTAGCTTTGTTAATATAGAAATGTGATTAGTTATTTCAAATTGTGCCAGATAAGACATAACAAACGAATAATAGTGTGTCCACTTGAAGACGGTTCCCAAAACGATTTGATGAAATTTTGAATCAACCCTTGTCTTCGGTAATGCTTGCAAAAAATTGCTACTGGATATCTCATATTTGTGGTAAAAACTGTGAGTTACTTCTAGTTTTAAAATATACTATTAGATACCTCAAAATATCATAAAAATAATGTCTTTAGGAAAGTCCTTGCATTTCTTTATTCTATAGTGAGAAAATCAATCTATAATACAAGTACATACAAATTACTTTATGTAGTCCTACAAATCTTTCTTATTTTAATTTTTTTAGTCAAAAACTGACACCTTTTTACCATAAATTGTATGAGAGGTATATTTAATTATAATATAAATTTGATATAATTGATTTCATCTTATAATATAACTTTAATATATCAAATTTTAATATCATTTGTTTATTTAAATTATGTTTAATTTGTTGTCATTTGATCAAAAAAGTTAAAATAAAAAATATTTTTAGAACGGAGGAGTATTATGTAAAAGGTAATTATCTATAATTAACTATTGATTAAAATGATGCATAAAAGAAAAGTCAATCCTCTTCCGAGAAACGCGCCGGTAGACGGCGGTTCAATCTCTCTCCTCCGCAATTTTAGCCGGCGTATCAGTAAAGTCGCCGGAGCTACGGGAAATCGTTGGAGACGCCGAAAACAGGGACCCAGCAAGAAGCGGCACAGAGGATCCGTCCCTTCCATCCCTGCAACATCCAGTCGCAATCTTCATCGAACACAAACTCTTTGTGGTACCCTCTCTTCACCTTCTTCCTCAACAGTCCCATCACCTCCGGGATCAACGGGAGAATCCTGAACCCGGCTCCGGCGCTCCTGGCCCCCCACTTCTTGTACGTCTCCGGCCTCGAAACCCTCTCTTCCCCGTCGCAGGCCACCACGTTAAACACCTCCCGCCCGAAGAATTCCTGCTCGAACACAGCCCTCTGCGGATCGTCCCGGGGCAACGTCTTTTCAAGAATGTCGAAATGGGCGTTGTAGTGGAACAGGGCCTCCCGGAACCGGATGTCGAAGAAGGGGGAATTGACGCTCCCGTTGACGATGGAGTGCACGAAGAGATTCGGGTTCAGTTTCCTTATCAGCCTCAGGACGGCGTCCCTCGGGTTGTTCTCCATGGCCACGGACTCGTCCAGCATGTCTTTGAATCTGAATATACAATTCACCACAACCATTTCATCTCCACTCCCGGAGAGCTTCAAATCCTCCACCCTGACCGCCTCCCAATTGCGGGCAGGGATCCCATTGTACTCGAACGGGACGCCGAAGCGGCGGCAGTACTTGGCCAAGCGCCGCCCTGTTTGGTGCACCAATTGGGCTGGTGGTTGTGGCGGAAAACCGGGCGGAGGGAGTTCGATTCCGGTGATACGGACCCTGGGAGGGCCGCCGGGGCGGTTGGAGAGATGCTGGATGAGGATGGGCCATTGGAAGCCGAAGAGAATGCCGAAATCGATGATGTGTATGGTCTTGGCACCGGAGGAGGCAAGATAAATCATCTTGTTTGCGAAGGCGAAAGTGATCTTGGCGAAGGGACATGTCTGCATGTAAGACCGGTATGCTTTGAGCAAGTCGAAAGCGGTGATCTTCTTGGGCGGCAGCGGAGGTGTGGTGGTGCCGGCCAGACGCGCCTCCAGGCCCTGCGCGAAAACATAAGCCAGCCGCTGTTCGCCGTTGCCGGAAGGGGAACAGTGCAGCCTGATCTCCTTCAGCTGCTCATTTGCAGTTCTGTGATCGTATGAGGCGATGGATTTGGCACAGCTGATCAAAAGGGCACTCAGATCTATGCCAAGTCTTTGATTCTTACTCTTATTATGTTCATCATCGTCATGATTAACTGCGGGTTAAAGAAAGGGGAAAGGTCGACCACCAACTTATAAGTACGATATGAGTAATCCTAGACTTGTGTCGTTTTTGAGTAGTTTGTAGAGACTATTGAGGTGTAGTAGAAGTAGCAGAAGGAGAAACAGAAGTATTGGTATTTGCCGTCTAACGAAAGAGAAGGAGGAGACGAGGAGCCCTAGAAGCTTAAGGGCCAGCGTCCCATTCTCTTTCTCCTTCTTCTTCTTCTTCTTCTTCTTCTTCTACATGATGACCATAAACGGCAGACTGCTTTCTCCTCCTCCTCCGCTCCTCGCATTCTTCAAATTCCCTGTCGTTGTCATCCGGGTACGGGTGCTTCTTATTACCCGGAGGAGAAGAAGGAGGAGAAGAAGAAGAACAGCCAAGATTCTTAAGGAGATCAAGAGTTTGAAGAGGGGGATGGTTCCTAGAGAGGGATCCAACCAAATAACTTTGACAAGGTTTGGTAGAAGTTAGATCATAGAAAACAATGGGGTTCACATTTCTTTTTTCCTCCATTAGTTTATTGACAGGTTGAGGTATCTAGAAAAGGGTCATCATCTGCACCTTATTCTTTTCAAATGTAAATGAATAAGGGTACTCATTCTCTCCCAATACAGAAAGTCAATAGTAAGAATTTAGTATGGGGTAAATATTGACTCATTTAGGGAGATTTCTTGGAATAATATTGTGTATCCAAATTTATAACATATCATCTGAAACATGAAAAAGAATAAATTTATTACCCGAAATTAGAATTTTTTTTACGTGTTTATTTCGAGAATCATTTAATTGGGTGACTTTTTAAAACTTTAATTCTTCCAACATCTTCTAACTCCTATTTTTTTTCAACGCCTACTAGTTTTTTCAAACTAATTCCAATTTCTTCTAACATCTAACTTTAAAATTCCTACTCAAAAGAACATGGTCTGAGTTGGCAGAATGGGAAAAGGAGAAAGAGAATACCATTCCACAAGGCCTAACTGGACGCACCGGCTAGAAGCCCACTACTTTTCACATGAGTCGGGCTAGGGCTTTAAATGATGGGCTCGTAGTGCAGGTTGGGCGAGCTCTGGTCTAATTTTTTCATAATATAGCGTCTTAGTCCGACCCAAAACCCGACCTAGTCCACCGTTTGATCAGGCCCAACATTGATAGGTCAAACAGAGAAAAAGTCTTAGACAAATCCACCTTCCTAGTAAGACTCTAGAAAATCTTTGATACTTTGAAATATGATGTTTAATCAAAGTTATCTTTAATTTAATTTATTTTAAATTTGTTTAAAACAATAAAGTTTCTACATTTAAAAAGTATATTCAAATATCTATAAAATAAGAGGCGATGATTGTTTGAATTTGATGAACAATACTTAATATTACTAATAGAAAATGGAATAATAATAAACTTATTGTATAAACTAGTTTCCAAAATAAAAATGAACTCACGAAACGACTATAAATGAGATTACATGTAGTCTCATTCTTATTTTTTCATAATATTTTAAATACTGAAAGAGTACAAAACTAGAGAGTACACAGCTATAACACTAATGAATTTTGAATCCCTTTCACGGAGATCATATTTGTAGGTGAGATGATAATCTACTGATCACACGTAGCCGTATTGTAGTCATGTGAATATGTGATCAATCAAGGCAAATCTATGAATTGATATGTTCTTCGACTGTAATGTTTGGAATATATTTCTTGGACTATAGCTTATTAATTTGGGGAATTTACCTAAATAGGATTAAACATAATTACTTTCTCAATATAGGACCATATGTTTTTATTTCCCAATATAGGATCATTGGTCATTATCAATTAGTCATTATTCAAGTAAATGTCCACCATCATTGGACAATATTTCTTCTACTAGATATTATTAAGTATTATTTAAGAAATAAAAAAGTTTCAGTCCTACATTCAGAAATGACTTATGTTTTAGTCCTATTTAGTGCAAATTTCACTATTAACTTATGTGTCACATCATTGGTGGATCCCAGGTGATAGTATTCTTTATGCATCTGGCACTGCTCGACGACGGGTGGATCCCTCCATGCAGGGCCGGCCTTGGGAGTAGGCATAGGGGGCTGTCGCTTATGGTCCATTCCATAAGGGGGCCCGTAATTATTATTTTTCTAATAATACTAGTAACATATTATTGTAATAAATAATCAGTTTAGGATTTTAAACTTTGAACTTGAAGTAAATATATGTGGTACAATACTAATATGTCACACTTAATTATTTTAATTTATCAAGTGAACTTTAAGAATTTTTCTAAATCACACACTTTACTACTCGTTTTTAGTGTATTAATTTATATTTTAGACAAAATTTTAATGATATTGCATAACTATCTTACTTTTTCCAAAACTTAAGCATTTTTAAATTCCTTATATTGATTTATATATCTAAAAATTGCTTCAGAGTATAGAATAAAATAGTTTTATAGATTTAATACATTTTTTTTGATATTTTGAATTTATTTAATAGAAAATGTAAGTGTTAATGTTAATTTAAAAATTTAAAAACCCGAATTCATAACCCGTTGGGTCGAACCGAACCCGATGATACTGGGTCATGAACATACAGTTCTCAACCCGAACCCAAATTGATCCGAACCCGAAATAACCTGACCTTGAAGTGACCAAACTCGAACCCGACCTGACCGACCGATTTGCCAGCTCTAGGCCTAAAGCATGTGCTATATTAAATTATGGAGTATCATTTTTCTTGTGCATCCGTCTTTTACCCGGCTAAATCATCGAGGAGAATGACTCGGTCTATTCTCTTATCGAAAGAACATACTCCCATCCGTCCCGGAGTATTCGTCCAGTTTTGACTTTTGGAACTGTTCATCTAAGCACTTTGACTCATCAAATTCTCTCAATGTGTAAGCCTAAATATAGTCATGTGTGATCTTGTTTGATTTGTCTTAACATATAGATTATTAATATATAATTTCTATAATTTTTTAATATACAAATTACAAGATAAAATAGATTAAAGAAGTGTATTGGATGATGTGTAAAAATGAAAGTGGACAAATACTCTGGGACGGAGGTAGTATTAAATTGTTGGCTCGATTAACATTGGATTTATTCACACCAGATGATATAATTATATTTTTTGTCAAATAATTAATAGAAATTATTAAAAATAAATTATTCAAGTTGACCCTGAATTCTAAGTGTAAGAATTTTTTTTGGACCTAGGAACTATGAGAGCATTGACAATGGCAAGGCAAAAATGAAATGCCACACGGTGACATGGATTATTTCAACCAATAAAAAGTAACTCAGTCACAAATGAGTGGAGTGTCGTAACATATAGTGGCAAGTCGTTGTTTTTGTCTATTTTTGCACTTTTTAATGATTTTTAATTATAAAAAATTATTTTAAAAATTTATTTTATTATTAAAATATGTTTACTTCTTTTAAAAAATATTTTTTTTCAAAAATTACAAATATTAAAAATATTAAAAAAATAAAAAGTGAGAGAGCCATGCCTTGCACATGGAATGGAAAGTGGGGTGGAATGGTTATGAAATGCCATGATTTGAGTAAAATTTGCTGACATGGCATGGCAAGACAAGGCATTGCCTTGCCATTGTGAATGCTCTGAATGCTCTGAAGTACTCCGTATATTTTTTTGTTTTAGAGTTGGTGAAAAATATTTTGATCGGATTGTCTTTTTTAATAAAAAAAAGTCAATTGAGTAGATGTTTTTCATACAAAAAAATTAACTAGTCTCTTCGTTCTGTATTGTATTAAAATACGTACAGTTATTTCTCACATATCTGGACGTTATTTGTATGTTTTTATTGCTTGTTTGATAAAATAAAATATTCTTTTCACTTCTTGTTTTATAAAATTTTAACGTAATTTTTTAAAATTGTAGTTTATGGTGGGAAAAGACTAAACTAGGAGTAACCCTAGAAAATATACTCAAATAGAAGTTCCATGTAAACATACAATAGGAGTTACGATGAAAATACAATGTCAATCATGTTAATATATAATACAAAAATATAATGTTAAATGTCTATATATAGTGTCACATTATCATAATGAAAACTTTGTTCTATTTTGGAGATCAAAACATAAAACTTCTATTTTGATATTTTATTTATGGTTTTACTCATATTTATGGTGATTTCTTTAAGTTTATTTTATTCTTATACTAACTTTTAAATAAAATAATTTCAAAAAATAAGATTTTTGTCTCATAATTCTAAAATTATAATCAAATTTGGGGGAATATGTTAAAAGAAATCATCACGAATAAGAGTAAAATATAAGATTTATCCTCAAAATAGGAATTATATGTTTTTATCCCTAAAATAAGATTTTGTATTATGACATTATGACATTGTTTAGTGACATCTCATTAAATATTTTTGGTGATATAAAAAATTAATAAAAAAATATACAACAATAATAACCCTGTTGAATCCCACTACAGTAGGGTCTGGGGATGGTGTCTGTACGCAGACCTTGCCCCTACTCAGAAGTAGGGAGGCTGTTTCCAAGAAACCCCCGGCTCCAACTGCATAAAAAATATGAAACTTCTATTTTAGTACTTTATCCATATTTTATTTCTAATTTAATCTTTTTTATGATGTAGTTGTTAATCAAACCAACTAAAACAAATTGCCATCCACCCTATGTTAATTGTTGATTATGGTACAGCTTTCTTTATTTACATCACCAAGGGTGTCATTGCCCAAGCCCAAACCGGATTTACCTTTATTTGATAAAACTTGACTTTTTAAACGTTTACACTGCATTCACATGGAAAAAAACGGACGCGAGACCGAAGACCCGTAAAAAAGACTTTGAATAATATTCTGTATGTTTTTATCACGCGCCAAATAAAATCAAATAAAGATTTGTTAGGGTAATATTTTGATTTTTTTGGGTGATCTTTTACCAAGACGGCAATCTCCAGTAATTTTTGTTTTTCTTTTTCTTTTGTGGGCTAAAATGTCAAAAAGGTGCATTATTGTCTAATTTACCTTAATCATATCCGTAATCCGCGAATGGGTCAAAAGTATCTTAAAAAATTACTCCATAAACCCTAAAATCAATATTCCTGTTACTAATATGTTTTCTCGTAGAGTTTTTATTGATCATTAGATAAAACAAAATATCATTCTCCCATCTTGTTTTGTATTTCGTAGAAATTTTTATGTATTTTTGAACGATGTGATTAATAAAACTTGTTATTTTCATTACAATTTATAATTAAAAGGATTTTAAAAGTAAAGAGATTTTGTGTGTTTTTTGGAGAGTGGTATTGATTGGCGGACGAAGAGTATGAACTTTTTGCACCATTTACCCTCAAAATCTCCAAAAATTATATGGATTTTCATGAACTTTAAAAATTACACTAGTGGTCCTTGAATATTTAAAATGTTGCATCAAAGCTCCTTCAGTGTCAGATTTGGGAGTGTATTAATCACACGCTCGTCAATGCAATAGGTCTCCTGAAACATAATCTTCTATATTGTTAACCTATTGAAACCCTAGACGATTATCAGTAACCGAACTTGAAACCCGGGCATTAGTCGATCAAGCTCTTCATCAATTGTTCAACGTCTTTATCGATTCATAACATTTTCATCAAGTCTCAATAAATTTATTGATGAGCGTGCAATTATCATACATTCTAATCAAACACAATGATCATTGATACAATATTTTTTAAATATCAGGGATCATTGATGTGATGTACAATCCTGTAAGTTCGTGGGGGCGCAGCAGAAATCACCAGTTAAGAGCTATGCAAACAAATCAACCAACTATGCTGTAGAAAAGATACTGTAGCACTGTCACAGTAACATATGACAGACAGTGTGATATAACACTTCTCTGTCACAAGCACACGCAGAATCATATGATGCAGAGGGCGTTACAGTGTCTACTGAGCAGAATGCTGTAACTATAAAAATGCGTAAAAAATAACACCAGATATGTTTACGCAGTTCGGAGAACTCTCCTAGTCTGCGGGGCCCACGTACGTGTAACAGCCCTCCACTAAATCACTAAATGCAAGTTACACCGGTACATAACAACATGATGAGACACACTTCTCCGAATTGTTATGACAAAACTTCTAATCTAGGATCTCTAACCCGAACTCTGTTCAGATCCGCTTCGGCTATCACATCTCCACCGAGATCACGAGGACAAACGTGTTGGAAGCCCTCTCCTTAAGCTCTTGTCCACCTCCTGGTTGTCACGATCTGTTTTTCGTTGTAGGACTCCTTCTTCATGTAGATCGTATCTTTCTTCACGCAAGGGAAGCTCCGGGACGCGACGGGAATGCTTTACATCAGCGTATATTCTTTGTTTTCCCTCTCAATCGCTCCGAGTAATTTCCAGGGACTTGCTCCGTTTTTATAGGCTTCTCTTAACACAATCCTAGTAGGAATAAGTTAGTAGAAGTTGGCTTGAATACAACTTTCTCAATCTTGATCCACAAGTAGACTAAAGAGTTGGGATTCCTTAACATGTACAACTGGAGTTATTATCATGTAGTCACAATCCCAATAGGTCTCCAATTCAGATTGTAGCTTAAAATCCCGTGCTCAGACTTCTGATCCCGAACAGTGTGTTGCAGCATCGTGTTGGAGCATCTTCTGTGTCAACCTCGAAAACTGCAGCAACTCTAGAAGTCTAAATAAAATAAACCTCTCCTAACAAATAGAGGTTTCTACCTAGTAAAACACCTAACAAATATGGAACTCTATTTTGCCAAAAGATTAGCCAACACCATGGAACTAACAAATCCTGCATAAGCGGGTAGTTGGTGACCAATGGGGAACGCGCTATGGGGTCAAGTGTCCCATTCTTTTTTAAGAAAAGTTATTTCTCCCTCTCCGTGGAATTGAATTTTTCATTATGATTTACGAGATGAGCTTAGACCAAATTTATTTTCACTTAAATTTTGTTTGATTATATATGTGAAAAATTCAAAAATAAAATTTGAACATTTAAAAATAGCATAAAGCATATTGTAGTGTTTATCATACTCCAACAGGCCATTTATAATTTAGCATGGAAGCCGTAATAGATATGGAAATATGAATTAAGTAAAATGTATTAAAAAATAATTTGAAATAGCGAAATATTATAAGAGTGTAAAAAATGAATGATACTTCGAGCACTTGGAACACTGATAACACTGGGGGTATTTTTCTCGATTTTAACACCCGAGCTTTAAACAACGCCCTCAGCGGGGGCTTCATCCTGGCGTTAAGCTGCATGCGTCAAACGTTTAACGCAACCATCTCCCTTCCCCAACGGCTATAATTCTGTTGCAAGTTTTTTTTAAAGAAAAATCTTCCTCTATAAATTCATAATTTTTGTAAATATTAAAACACGCACCACAAACACCAGTCTCTCTCTCCTATTTCTAAAAAAAGAATTATTCAAGTATTTCTTTTATTTTTAACATGAATCCATTCTCTTCTTCCGTGTTTCTCTGTCCGGTCTCGATCCAAACAAGTACGTGGTTGGTTTTACCAAACGTACGAGAATAACCCGACGTTTTTTGATACGCCAACCTCGCTGAAACCTAGAGGACCCAGAGTAGGTTCTGGACACTCAACTGGAACCAAGTGTACCAAAAAAAATGCACAACAAAAGAGTCACAAGCAAAAGACCGACAAGCCGATGACCGAGGTGGCACGGTCCAATCAAAAGTGGACACCTGAGAAAGAATTGATGTTGGCGTTCGCTTGGGTTGACGTCTCGGAGTATCCTTTTGTTGGTAATATATATATATATATATATATATATATATATATGGGATTGACTCCAGTAAGATGACACCTTACGGTGCGATGACATGCTTCGGTCAGATGACGCAAAGCTCACCACTGCCCACTGCAAAGCTCACCAAGCACAACTACAAAGCTCACCAAACTGTAAGGCAAAGCTGACCATATTTTTTTCAACACTTTGAATTTTTTTTTTGAAAAAATAAAATCAAATGAAGGGGTGCTGACTAGACTTTGACCGTTGACTCCAGCATTGACCGCCGCCTGCCACCGCCAGTCGCCGTCGCCGCCGCCGATCGCCGGCCGCCAGTCACCGACCGCCGCCGCCGGTCGCCGGTCGCCGCCGCCTGCGGCCGCCGTTGACCGGTGGTTGACCGGTGTTGCTATTTTATTTTTAATTAATTTTTTAATTTTCAAAATTAAAAAAAAAGGTGAGTTTTGGGGTTCAAAGTGGTGAGCTTTGCTTTATTTCGAGGTGAGTTTTGCATTGTCCATTGGTGAGCTTTGCAGTGGGCAGTGGTGAGCTTTGCGTCATCTGACCGAAGCATGTCATCGCACCGTAAGATGTCATCTCANCGTTGACCGGTGGTTGACCGGTGTTGCTATTTTATTTTTAATTAATTTTTTAATTTTCAAAATTAAAAAAAAAGGTGAGTTTTGGGGTTCAAAGTGGTGAGCTTTGCTTTATTTCGAGGTGAGTTTTGCATTGTCCATTGGTGAGCTTTGCAGTGGGCAGTGGTGAGCTTTGCGTCATCTGACCGAAGCATGTCATCGCACCGTAAGATGTCATCTCATTGGAGTCAATCCCTATATATATATATATGTATGTATGTATGTATGTATGTATGTATGTATGTATATATATATATATATATATATATATATATATTGATTCTGGTGAGAATGTCATCATAGGAGAGAAATGAGAATGAATCTGCTGTTTTATATTGTGAGATCTAAGGGTCAGGATTGCATCAAAATTAGGTGCACCAAAATGGTTTGAAAATGCATCATGTCAAAATGCACCAAAATCCTTTGAAAATGCACTATCTCAAAATCTGAGCGCAGGACGCAATCTGAGCCACACGATGCATCAGATCCAACAGCTAAATTTTATTCTCATTTCTCTCCTCACGTGTATGTATAAATACTTCAATCTATGATGAATAAAAATTATGTTTGCAACGTATTTTAAATAATTTTTTATTGGACTTTTCACGATCTTTAATACTCCCTCCGTTCCTAAATAGATTACAATTTTTTTGCTCTCTCCTCTCGATAACTTTTTACGCGATTTCATTAAGTATTTGATAAAATAAAATATTCTTGTCACCTCTTGTTTTGTAGAACTTTTGACGTAGTTTTTTGATATGTAATTTTTATATCTTATTGATATACCAATTTGTAAATAAAATGATTTCAAAAAGTAAGAAATTTTACTCCGTAACCCGTAATTTGTAATCAAATTAGGGACAGAGGGAGCATAATATTATGATTATTAATATTTGAGTGTTGCATTATTAATTTTTCATTCTCACGCTAGATTATTAATTTTTTATTCTCACGCAATCGCCCGTTTTATTTCCGGTTTATTTGATTGATAGTGTCAATTAGCTTTTCTAAAAGTCAAGTTTTATCAAGGAAGGGAACCCCATTTGGGGGTTGGGCAATGACGCCAGTGGTGACGTAAATGGTTCTCTAACCGAGGTATAATGAAGTTTTTTATAGGTAAATTCGATGATCCACCATGAATTTTTATATAATCAATCAAAATACGTAATTTCTTATTTTTTAAGTAAATATTTATTTTTTAAATAAAAAAGAAAATATTTTATGTAAGAAGGCTCACAACAATAGTATGCAATCAAGAAGATGCACCATATAAGAAGTACTTCATTTTATAATTCATCAAAATTCAAAACCAAAGTTAGAAAGGATATATAGCAACTTATTTTAGCAAGCTTCATTAGCGATAGCAGTTATTTTTTCATTATTTTTAAAATATGAAATTCTTATAATGCACCCCGTTTATGAAAAAAAGATATTAGTTTTTATTATTATTTTTAAATATTATATTTTTATCCTCCATTCGTCCAAAAAAGAATATCATAGTTCCTATTCAAAAATCACAGAAATTATTATTTCTCTACGTTTTCATTGATTATTCAATAAAATAAAATAATTTTGTCCTGTCTTGTTTTGAAAAACTTTTAACGTAGTTTTTAAATATGTAAATTTTATTTAATCTTATTTCTATACCAATTTTTATATAAAATGAATTGAAACAAATTAAAATTTTGCTTCATTTTGCATAATGTGACAAACATATTGGTACGGAGGTAATAATATAAAAGAAATTTACCTAAATAGGACTAAAACATAATGACTTTCCCAATATAAAACCATATGTTTTTATTTCCTAATGTAGGACTTTTGGTCATTATCAAGTAGTCATTATTCAAGTAAATGTCCATCATTACTAGACATTATTCTTCCCACTAGGTCATTATTAAGTGCTATTTAGGGAATAAAAAAGTTTAAGTTCTACTTTGGGAAAGTCATTATGTTTTAGTCCTATTTAGTGCAAATTTTACATAATATAAATGTATGAAATTGGAAACGGTCACAAATTACTTTGTTGAGTTAATTTTACTCTTATCTCGCAAAATTTCGTAAATGGTGTATTTGAGAACTTGAATTTGGATTTCAAATCTGAATTTCATCCAAATTACTTGTTTGCAATTAAAGAGTGATGTTTTCTCATGCAAGAACAATTCCATACATATCAGCCGGCTTCTGTTACCATCTTTACCGACTTCAAAATTTAAGTTCTAGAATTGAAATTCTATGATTTCTCAAACAAGTTTGCAATTTAAAATTATGAGATTTCAAATATTGAAATTGAAATATAATATTTCAAATGATTTCTAATTTCGAGATACTACTTAAACGAATTTGCTCCAAATGGTAATTTTGATAGTACGGGCCAACTTGTTGAGTTGGCCTAAGGACGTGTTATGTTGTACTCATGGACTTGCACGCCATACGATATATCTATACATAGTGTAATTACTTCCTCTGTTCCAAATTAAGTTTTTTATTTACTATTTACAAAGTCAAAGTTTATTTACTTTCTTTCGTTACTTATTTAATAAAATAATAAAGTCATGTCACCTCTTATTTCGTAGAGCTTTTGATGTGATTTTTTATATGTAAAATTTATTTTTTAATTTCGCACTAATTCTCTAATAAATTGCATTAAAAATAATGTCAATCAAACATCATAATTCGAAACAAACGATTTATATTGGGACAGAGAGAGTAAAGGTTATGCTCCCCCGTTCCAAAATAAAGCTCTTATTTGGTTTGGCACTATGATTAAAAAATGTAAAATTATGTGATTGAAAACGGTGCAAAAGAGAAAGAAAGATTGTGAGTCACAGAAAATTTTTCAAAACTGGAAAGACAAGTCGTCTTTGTAAGTGTAACGTCCCAAAAAAATAAAAAATCAATAGATAATCATTAAAAGTGAAAATATTTAAAATTGATAGAAAATATTGCCAAACTTTACTCTTATAAAATTGAAATGAGAAAAAATATTTTAGAATGTTAAAAAAAAGAAAAGTAAGAAAAAAATTGTTTTTCTGTATTGGTGCTTATTGACTTATTAGTGATAAATGGTTTTTAACTTATAAGTTGTTAGTAAATTAAATATTGTTTAATGGAGATAAAACCCTTAAATGATACGGAGTATGTAAGTTATTTGTGACAATTAACAATAGATGAAAGATAGTTTTAAAAACAATCAGGTCAAAACGGAAAAATGAAAAAACCAACTTTAAAATAAATAGACAAGACTTAATTATTTTTTCCTGACTTACAAATATGTAAAAAAAACTTATACTCCATAACTCCATAGAAATAAATTTCTACTATTGACTTTTGTCATGAGTCATGAGATGAAATTACTATTAAGGTGGCTGAAAACCATTTGGTGAGATGATGACCCTCCAATGCTAAATACCTCAACCTGTCAATAAACTAATGGAGGAAAAAAGAAATGTGAACCCCATTGTTTTCTGTGATCTAACTGCTCCCACACCATGTCAAAATTCCTTGTTTGGAACCCTCTCTAGGAACCCTCCCCCTCTTCAGACTCTTGATCTCCTCAAGAATCTGGGCTGTTCTTCTTCTTCTTCTTCTTCTCCATCTCCTTCTCCTCCTGGTAAAAAGAAGCACCCGCACCCGGATGACAACAACCGGGAATTCGAAGATCCCGAGGAGCAGAGGAGGAAGAGAAAGCAATCTGCCGTTTATGGTTATGAAGACAAAGAGGAAGACGATGAAGATGATGTGGAGTTATCAGAGATGTTTGATGAGTTTTTGCTGTGTTCAGATCCTAATGAGTATAGCATGAATATTCAACCACCAGCTGGAAAGGGGAAAGAAATTGGGCGAGTTAATCATGACGATGATGAACATAATAAGAGTAAGAA